GGATTTAAGGCTTACATCAACTTATTTCTATGATTATTGCTCATTAGGATCTCATTAGGATCACTTCCACAGCCGCCACTCAACGTGCGCTCGACTGACACGCTGCGAGTCACATTCACTGTAACAGACAAAAGCTCTGGAAAGGGCATTCAACCACACCAAACTTTCATTCGTTTCTATGACCCTTTAACAAAAGAGGAAGGAATACAGCCCGTACGAGTGTCTCCTGCAGGCAAGGCTAAAATTGACGTCGTAAGTTCTCCTTTCTCTTCGCCTCCTGTAACGAGGCTCCTGGGTACACAGTCTAATTCGACTGGATAACTCGATAGAATATGGCCAAGCCGCCGACCTGGCTCCCACCAACTACCGATTCACCTCTCGACGTGTCATTGATAGTCGGCTCTTTCAAACATGAGCCTTTCCAAAGTAATATCTTCCAATTGACACTACCCAAAAGTCAACCGCCTCCAACAAGTCCCGAGGAAGTTCATTATCACCCACAACCAGAGATACAGCATACATTTAGGCCCCAAGCTAAGATTCCGATGAAGGCAATCTCTGGCATCTTTGCGCTAGCAACCATCATGCCATGGTTCATATTGTTGGGACTGGTAGGTGAAGAGTACGTTTCGTTTCATGATTGCTAATAGGTGATTTTCCGCAGTGGCTCGCCATCCCACACAAGACTCCTAACTTATTCACAAACCAAATATTCCCTTTCGTTGCCTTACTTGCCGTATTTGAAGCGCTTCTGGTTACCTACTGGATCCGCCTTAAGCTGCCACAGGTGCTTACTTACGGTGCAATTCTCTCGGTCATCACAGCTGCCGCAGGAAAACGCGCGTTGAGTGCTATAAGCAAGTGGAGAACCCAATAGTCACTTCACTGGTTGTACTTACCTTTTATAATCTAATTCGATTCGCGCACCATCTAACTCCCGCACACGGTCGAGCAATTCCTCAGACCCCGTTAAAGACATCGGAAATATCTCCATTATAAATCGATACAGCCTTCTAAGATGGTGATGTCTCTATGGACGCGGGATATGGCGCCATGGGTAATGCAGGTTCA